AAATATTTGACTAGATTCCAAATTCAAGTCCAAATCAATACTCCAATCCTCAAAATATACTCTTTTAGGTTATAGCCAATCGCCAACTTTCACTCTAAAATTTTATGATTAGGTGTAGAAATGTCCGCGAATGCGGAGGGTGTGTTGCGAGAGTGAAGACAGGCCAGAGCTAAGGGCTTGTAGAAGCGAGATTCTAAGCACAAAAGTGATGTCTCTTCTGCGGCTAAGTGTCTGCAGACGTGGAAATACGTGAAAGGATGTATTAAGTCGAGTTTTAGCTCATTTTCACCATTTTTACATTTTGGATATCGAGAAAAGGCGATTTTTGAGGATCTTTTCACTATAATCCTGAGGGTAAGTAATATCTTGGTTTTGATCATATATCTTGATTGCAGGTGCGATCACCACACACAGACATGGCATTGCAGATGTGCTAGATCCTCCGCATCTACGAGCTTCCACATCGAGGCTTACCTTCATAGGTGCGACTCTCCATCCACATGTGCAACCTCGCACATCCGCTCAAAATACCGTAGGTGTGAAGCACTAGAGACCAGAAAATATACATAACTCCAAAATAGTCCAAAATCACCCTGAAACTCATTCGAGCCCTTGATCCCCCTTCCAATCATGCTAACAAGTTTGTATACCTCATTAAAATTTATTTAAAGGCTCAAAATACTACAAACAATATCAAAACCTAGAATCGAAGGTCAAATTCACTCCTTAACTTCCAAACTTTTCAACTGCCAAATGCGTTTAAATCATACTTAGACGTTCCAGTTTACAACCAAGCATTGCACACAATGTTATTTCGGCATTTAGGACCTATCCAAGGTTTTAAAATCACAATCAAATCTTATTAACAATAAAATCAACTATCAGTCAAACTAATGAACTTTCTAATACTTCAAATTGCCAACTTTTGATAAATAGAATCAAAATATTCTAGGAACATCCAAAACTTAATCCAAACGTACGCCAAAGTCCAAAATCATAATTCAAACCTATAAAAACCCTCAAATCCCGATTCCAAGGTCGTTAACTCAAAAGTCAAACCTTAGTTAGCTCTTACAACTTAAGCTTCCAAAGTAAAACTAAGTGTTTCAATTCACTCCCAAACTATCCTCGAACCAAACTAACCATTTCCGCAAGTTATAAAATATCAAATAAATCTATGGAATAAATCAAATAGGGGAACGGATCAGTAATACTCAAAATGACGTGTCAAATTGTTATATCTTGTGTGTAGATATTTAGCCTATATGTTTATAAAGCATATAAGTGATTAAAAGCTCTAAGTTCAGTCCACTTAATAACTTGGTGAATTCAGACTACCAGAAAGTAGTTAAATTTTATAATTTGATTTAATTACTTGTTTTAATTGCAATTTCTTGCATTTGCTAAGGAGCAACTCAAATTATAAAATATGATCACATACGACTTGGGAGAAGTAGCCAACCTTTACAAGTGTGAGTGTCGCAAGGGTTTGGGTTAACCACCTCATAGTTGCGGGTGCTAACACATTTATATTTCCAGCTTAGGAGAAGTGGGCAACCTCTCTGAGTGTGAATGAAAGTTTTCTAGATTAACTATTCCCACACTTGTAGGTGCCATTATTTTTTAGACCTTTTTCAGAATAAATATTTTCAGTTAAATCCCGATTTTAGACCAGAGTTCGGATTACTGGATTTAATTTCAGCTTGTGGGCTCATGCGTTAATTAATGAATTGCTTATATTACTTCATTGCATTTCATTATAATTATTTAGCCCAAAAGGCCAGAACAGTCTTGTTCCTCCACCTGGGGCTATCAACGAGACTTTCTGGGTACCTGTCAATTGTAGCTAGCCTGTTTGGGCTTGCTTTGTTGTGTGGCGAGTGTTGAAGTCACTGAGCATGAGGTTCACGGTTAGTGTCAGTCATTTATAGATTCAATTGGTGAATTTTGTGAATTCTTTTCACCGGTTGCAGATATTTTTCAGTTTACGTTATTTTTAAAACACATGTTCATTATTTTCTCGTAGACTTTGTAATCATTTCTGTCCTTAAAGCTCATGACATCTTCGTTTATTGCATTAGATTCTTAAACTTTTCATACTAAGGGTGTGTTTGGTATGACGGAATATGTTTTCCGTGGAAATATTTTCCAAGAAAATGTTTTTTTAAAAACAAGTAGTAATCTTATTTATTTTTCGGTCTTTAGTGCGCAAATTAAAGAAAATGACTTCTCAAGAGTATTCATAAATAATTTAGATATAATAAACTTGAAGCCATAAACTTTCAAACCAACAACCTTCCGAATCCACAAATTTCATAAACTATCGAAACTACGGAATTTCGAACCCGTAAATTTTATAATTTCTAAACCTGTAAACTTCTAATCACATAAACTTCCGAACTTGTAAAATTTTGAACCTTTAAACCGATAAATAAAAAAACTAAAACTGAAAAATATATTTTAAAAATATTTTTTTTCGGGGGGAGGGGGGGGGGAACGAAAAAAAACAAAAGTTTGAAATTACAAAAAAAGTAATTTTTTTATGTGCGGGGGAGGGGGGGAGGTGAGGGCGTGGGGTGCCGAAAAATAAAAAAATAGAAATTTGAAATTGCCAAAAAAAAATAAGGCAAAAAAATAATTTTTTTGCGGGAGTGGGTTGGGTGAGGTGGAGGGGTAGTAGGTGGGTGTTAACGGAAAAACTGAAATTTGAAAAAAAAAAAGAAGCTTTTTTTGGAGAGAGGGGGTGAGGTGAGTTCGTGAGGGTGGGGAAGGTTGAGAAGGAGTTTTGGAAAATATTTTCCCTTCTCTTGATAAGGAAAACATTTTCTTCCAATTGGAGAAAAATGAGTTCATAAGAAAAATATTTTTCAAAACATTTAAGCCAACCAAAAATGGAAAAATTAGAAAATATTTTCTGAAAAATATTTTCCTTCGTACCAAACACACCCTAAGTAAAGATTCTATTAGCTTTTACTCATATGTAAGCTATATTAAGTAAAGATTCTATTAGCTTTTACTCATATGTAAGCTATATTAGTATCTTTCAATCAGCTAGAACATGGCTCACTCAACGGGTTAATACTGTTAGGTGCTGAAACGCCTCACCGAGTTTGGATGGCATGACAAAAAGTTAAAGTGAAAAATATGTTACTTAATAACCATGAATAAGTGGTAAACGTGTGTTTTAAGGACACATATCTATAATTATTGATTTGATGTAAATATTATATGCGAGTAGACTTTCACCCAAACATAAAATTAGTTTGTGGCTATTATGCAAATTGGGTATGATCGTTGATCCTAATTAATTGGGATAGAGCTTATCCTATATGTGAAGTTTATTTCAATTAAGTTAGATGAAAAATTATATGCTATATATCATTAAGAAGACAAATTGAAAATCACGTTTCCCTTCCATTTTCTCCATATTTTCTTTAATCAAATTTATCACAACCCAATTTTCACTATAGGCCGTGATGACACCCAACATCGTCGTTAGGCAAGCCAACGATGAACTATCCATTTAATTATTCATTTTATTTATTTCTAAAGTCATGAATTTTATTTAAAAAAGAAATCAAGAATAATTAACCATGGTGATGTGAAACATGAAATAAAACATACGAGTGAAATGGTGATATTAATAGATAAGATCATAAATATCTACTAGTAACTCTTAAATCCGGTGTCACAAGTGCACGAGCAACTAGTAGAATATACAAAACTCCTACAACTAATGTCTGAAGCAGAATAGAAAGAAAATAATAAATACAACAAGAGGAGGCTCCGGGTGCTGCAGAACGGAGCATGGAAAGCAGCTCACCACTATGCCTCCGGGTAATTTTGACTAAAAGCTTAAATAAATTTTACACGTAAGTTTTCTAAAACAGAGAAAAGAATTTTCACCAAGTTTCTTGTCACGACCCAAAATTCATTAAAAGTCGTGACGGCGCCGGACACCATTGTTAGGCAAGCCAATACTAAATAGCTAATTAAATTCTCTTTTTATACCTTCGAAATCATAAAGTTTCCTTCATTTTTTTTACTGATAACAGATGAACTTTACAAAATAAATAATAATATTTTTTTTAATTTCAACACCGAACATCCTGTAATCACCCCAGAATCTGATGTCACAAGTACATGAGCAATTACTAGGAAATAGAATGAAGTATAATAACTGTCCGGAATACAAATTTGGATAGGAATGAAAAGTACAAATACTCTGAAGGAGACTGTGCTGGCTGCAGAGCGTCTCATAAGATGCAGCTCACCTAAGTCCCCGTATCAATCATGCTGCTGCGCCCACAAGGCCACTAGACATACATACGCCTGTACAACAAAATGTACAACAAGTGTAGTATGAGTACGAAAATAACGCGTACCCAGTAAGTATCCAGTCTAATCTCAAAGAAGTAGTGATAAGAGGTCGACTCCGACACTTACTAGTGGTCCAACAGTAATGTATTAATAATATAAATAGTCGTAGATTTTATTAAAGCGGCTGTGAATTTAAGAAAAATCATGAAGCAAGTAAATAATCCTCATGTCAATAGGAGATTTCCAAATTCATTTTCATCATTTATAAATTTATCTCAAGTCAGGGAGGCAATATCATTATTTATAAATTTCAAGGCAAGCAATACAAGCATGCGCAAATCATGACGAGGTCGTACGGTTTGATCAAACATAAAATTTAAACTGTGCACTGCCAGAGGGTCGAATAGCGCGAATCATAGATGTATCTATTTAATTTGCCGAGGCGTTCACCCCGTTCCACAAAGATAAACACATTTAAACAGTCAAGAATTTATCAAGAAGCAATTATCCAAGGAAAAGACAAATTTCTCCTTTAACGGTCAAGAAAACGAAGTTTAATCCTTTTAGAAATACAATTACCAAGTTTGATATGTTTTAAGCAATTTAAATCCACAATACACTTACAAATATCACAAATATCGCCCAAACCAAATGAAACAACAACAACAACAACAAACCCAGTTTGATCCCAACAGGTGGGGTCTGGGGAGGATAGTCTGTACGCAGACCTTACCCCTACCTAATGCAGGTAGTGAGGCTGTTTCCAATAGACCCTCGGCTCAGGAAGGACACGAAGAAGAAGTGTAAAGCAAGGAAGGAAGAGAAAAGAAAAGGGGGGGGGGAGGGAATAAAGAATAAGTGGTACCAAATAATTGCAGTAGGGAATACAATACCTGAGGCGAACATAACCACATAACATAATAGAAATCTAAGAATATAAACTACCTACTAACCTTCTACCTTAATCCTCGACCTCCACACCCTCCTATCAAGAGTCATGTCCTCAGTGAGCTGAAGAAGCACCATGTCGTGTCTAATCACCTCTCCGCAGTACTTCTTAGGCCTACCTCGACCTCTTCTCAAACTCTCCATGGCCAACCTCTCACACCTCATGACAGGAGCATCAATTCTTCTTCTCTTAACATGTCCGAACCATCTCAGCCTCGACTCCCACATCTTGTTCTCTACGGAGGCTACTCCCACTCTGTCCCGGATAGCTTTATTCTTAATCCTATCTCTCCTGGTATACCCACACATCCATCTCAACATCCTCATCTCTGCTACTCTCATCTTCTGCAGGTGGGAGTTCTTGACAGGCCAACACTCAGCCCCATACAACATAGCCGGTTGAACCACCACTCGATAAAACTTACCCTTAAGTCTTAGCGGCACATTCTTATCACACAAAATACCGGAAGCAAACCTCCACTTCATCCATCCCGCTCCGATGTGATGTGCGACATCTTCATCAATCTCCCCGTTACCCTGGATAATAGAGCCGATATACTTATAACTCGCTCTCTTGGGGATAACTTGAGCATCAAGCTTAACCTCTATATCTGCATCATGGGTCCCATCACTGAATTTGCACTCCAAGTATTCTGTCTTGGTTTTACTCAGTTTGAAACCTTTAGACTCCAAGGTCTGTCTCCAAATATCCAACCTCGCGTTAACTCCGCTACGCGTGTCGTCAATCAATGCTATATCATCGGCAAATAGCATGCACCAAATGCACCTCCCCTTGGATGTGTCGCGACAGTACATCCATCGCCAAGGAAAATAAAAATAGGCGAAAAGCTGATCTCTGGTGCAACCCCATCACCATAGGGAAATGCTACGAGTCACCTCCCCCACAGTCCTCACCCGAGTCTTAGCATCATCATAAATATCCTTAATTACCCTAATGTACGTTACCAGAACCAAATGAAAATGAAAAAAAAATGGGCCAAGTCCGTTTATAAAAATCCTCTTCTGCCCAGCGGCCCTTGTACCTACGGTCACTTGACCGCTTCTGCAGTTCCGCAGGTGCACAAATGTTCCACTTCTACAGTCATCCCCAGCTGCCCACTTCCGTTTCTGCGTATCCCTTTCCGCAAGTTCGATTTTGCTTCTGCGGTGAGATGACCGCATCTGCGGTCTCAGCTCTTCCCCACCAAAATTGCATCTGCGACCCTAGGGCCACTTCTGCGGCTCCGCGCCTGCGGCCAAAACCTCGCAGGTGCGGTTGAATCAGATGCCTACTACTTTAGCACATCTTCAATGTCCAATTCGATCCGTTGGCCATCCGGAATCCACTCGAGGCCCTCGGGACCTCAACCAATTATACCAACACGTCACAAAACATAACACAAACCTGATCGTGGCTTCAAATCACATCAAACAACGTTGAATTTATGAATCACTCTCCATTCCATGTTTAATGAACTTTAGAATTTCAAACTTTTTCATTCGATGCCGAAACCTATCAAAACACGTCCGATTGACCTCAAATTTTGCAGACAAGTCACATTTGACATTACGGACCTATTCCAACTTTCCAAATCAAAATCCGTCCCCGATATCAAAAAGTCCACTTCCGGTCAAACTTCTAAAAAACCTTCAAATTTCTAACCTTCGTCAAACGACTCCAAATGACCTACAGACCTCCAAATCCACTTCCAGGCGTGCTCTCAATACCAGATTCACCATATAGAGCTATTCTCATACCCGAAATCCCAGATGGACATCGATAACGTTGAAATGCACTTCAGCCAAAATTTATGAAATTCTTCCAAAATGCTAACTTCCTCAATAGGCGCCGAAATGCTCTCGGGTCATCCGAAACCCGATCCGAACATACGCCCAAGTCCGAAATCATCATACGAACTTACTGGAACCTTCAAATCCCGATTCTGAGGTCGTTTACTCAAAATCATGCTTTAGTCAATTCTTCTAACTTAAAGCTTCCGAAATGAGAATTTTCTTACTGAATCAACTCCGAACTTCCCGAAATTTAATTCCGACCACGCATGCAAGTCATAATACCTGAAGTGAAGCTACTCAGGGCCTCGAACCGCTAAACGACGCGCTAGATCTCAAAACGATTGATCAGGTCATTACATTTCTAAATTTGAAGTTTAATTCTAACTCTAAAATGCTTTAATGTCTATCAAGAATGTGTAAGTCGATGTCTTTACTTTTTTACTTTAAATAATTCTATATTTTTTGTTAATGACATTGACAATCGGCTTATTATTTGACAATTTGTGATTGGCCCAATCTAGCTGAAATTATTAACGAAGCTAGTTGTACGATTTTTCTCTCCATAGTTATCATTTATATCTCCAAAGAGAAATATATGATGACCTTTTTTTTTTACTTAAAACCCTTTTAATAAGAAAAAATTAAAGACAAGTTTTTGACAACTTTATTGAATTAGTATCTAACTCGGAGGACAGATTAGAAACTTTTGCTCACAAATAAAGGTCAAAGAATTATTTTTAATGCTATAATTATAGATGGCACCTCCTTTTATCAATTTGAGAAAAGTAATGTCGTTGTGCTTACTATAGAAAAGACATCCTTGTCATGCAAAAATCCCTTTCTATTGAAATGGAGGATCATGTGTTTCCCTTGAGAGACAATATGATTAGTTACTTGCCATGCCTTCTAATTCCCCTTATCTAATCATTATACAATTACCATCATCACATGCCTGCCTGCCCCTTCCATCAAAGAAAAAAGAAATTACAGTAATTGTTGGTTTTAAGAACCTGGGATGCTACTTGGATGCTGGCAAATAAAGGGACAGGACCCCCTCAAATATTGCAGAACTATTTATCATAATAATACGTTATCCCTCCATTATTGCTTCCTCATAATCGAAAGTAGGAAATAGTTTTATTTCCCATTTCATCTTATGTAGTACTATTTGATTGATCATAGATTTTTTTTGAAAAAAAAATTACATTTTGAAATTTATTACATCAAATATGCTATAATAATTGATTAGCTATAAGAATTTCTAATTAAGAATAATGTAAAAAATCTAAGGTTAATTTATTTCTAAAGTTAGAAAGAGGACCTCTTTTAGAACATACCAAAGAGCAAATCAGATCACATAAGCAGGAACAAAAATGAAAATTATGATATTTAGGGGTGTGTATAGTTTGGGCAAACCCGAAACACTAAATGTCAATTATCATTTTCTGCCATTTATGAACACTGAAGGTTAAAGCTAGGTCAATTGCATTCGTTGTCATTTCAGGAGTTCTGGCACTGGGTTCTTAAGTAAAAATATTAGTTGTTTAATCGTAAGGAGTCTATAATGATTGAGTGATGGTTGACTTGATTATGAATTATTAGAAGTATGTTTTATTTGGACATGATTTTACTATGTTTTGACTTGTTAATTTTCAACATGATTACTTGTCAGATTTCTTGTTATTCTCAAGCTCAGAAAACATCTATTTGCATACGGCTAAAATTGGAGGGCCCGATTTTATGACCGTTATGACATTCCACGACCCGCCTCCAGAAGCCTCGAGGTATAGTTCGAAGTTTGACCCCGGGGGCCCCCTATGCTCGACCTCGGGGCAGCACAAGCCGGTGGCTATCATGGATACGGGGGAAGTTCCCAAGACACGTTACCAAAGCTAACAATATCTGCAAGAATAGTACTAGCCTGTACCAGACTAGTAAATAGTTGTACCAGCTATATTTCTTTGTAATAAATGCACATGTACTATATAGAGATTCCCTCTCCTATATAAATGAGATCCTTGTTATTTTTTAGGGGATCTGATACTAAATGTTGAATATACAAGAACATTCTCTCTACTCTCTAACTTAACATATTCTCTTGATCTCACTATTTACATCTATTGCTTATATCCATTGTGTTCTATTTATTCTTCTTCATTATTACTCATATTGGTCATAAAAGGCTTCCATCAAAGCTATCATAACTGTTAATCCTCCATCGACTGCCCCCGATCGGGCGTTCGATTCGACTTCGAGGCCCCATGTACGCAAGCTCGAGGCCCCGATCTCTAGCCATTCGGTTTGATTATTACACCATCTACAAGCTCTTACCTTATCTTCTTATTCTTCACTTAGCATCTATTGCCTAACAACTAGCATAAAAATAGATCATGTATTTTTAGAACCACAAAATCAAATCTAATTGTAATTACCATTTTCAAGGTAAACAGTTTGACACCCACCGTGAGGCTAAAAATAATAGTGATTATTTTCTTGCTGGTATACTACATAACACAAGTTACCTTTCACACTTTTTCTTGTCCAAGATCTTTGATTCCAGGTCAAAATATCTAACTAAGTAAACACACGTGAAAACGACAATCTTGAGGACCATGGAGAGAATGGTGTAGATATTCCAGATGTTGGTGTACCACCACGAAACCCTGAGAATGCACTAAAACCAATTCCCATGGATGTGGTCTCGCCCAACGCTCAGCACGTCGAAATAAGCTCCCACACCAACAGGAGCATACACTAAGGATATCAACAAGAAGCTCAGAAAACCCCAGCAAGGGAAGAATAGGAAGTTAGTCTTCACGCTATTTTTGATATGTTACAAGCACAACAACTGGTGATTACTCAGTTACAAAGTCACTAGAAAACTCCCAGCACGGTAGCACCGGAAACGGCTCCCCAAGCTGAACAGGTTCCAGGAAGATCAAGCAACAACGGGTCAGCAACCGACCCTGCCATCATAAAGATGCTCGAGGACCTCACAAAGAGGATCGAGTCGGGAGAGAAGAAGATAGAAGCCAACGACAAGAAGGTAGAGACCTACAACTCTAGGGTCGACAAATTCCGGGGGCACCCCCGATCTTGAAAGATGTAGATTCGAAGAAGTTCGTACAAAAGCCGTTCCCGCAGGAAGTGGCCCCGAAACCCATTCCAAAGAAGTTCAGAATGCCCGACCTTCCGAAGTACAACGAAACCTCAGACCCCAATGAGTACGTCACTGCTTACACTTGTGCGGTGAAGGGCAATGACCTGAGGGACGATGAGATCGAACCCGTCCTGCTGAAGAAGTTCGGAGAAACACTCTCGAAAGGAGCCATGATGTGGTATCACAACCTAGCTCCTAACTTTATAGATTCATTTGCCATGCTGGCAGATTCTTTCATAAAGGCACATGCTGGTGCCATCAAAGTAGCTACAAGGAAATCCGACGTCTTCAAAATCAAGCAAAGGGAGAACAAGATTCTGCGAAAGTTCGTATCTCACTTTCAAATGGAACAAATGGAACTACCACCGTTCTCCAACGACTGGGCAACGCAGGCCATCACTTAAGGTTTGAACGGCGGAGCTCAGTAGCTTCGAAACAGCTGAAGCAGAACTTAGTCGAGTATCCCGCCGTGACTTGGTCGGATATCCACAATCGATACCAATCAAAGATCAGGGTCGAAGACGACCAACTAGGAGTTTCCTCGTGCTCGGTATATCGTAGCAGGCTTCCGGTAAAGGAGTCAAAACCAAACAAAGAAAGATACCAACCATACACTAAAGATAGAAGAAACGCCCCAAGGCGCAACATACCCCGCAATGACCGAATGATGCATTGAGGCCAGAATCCTCGGGGACTTATTAGCAGAGCTGGGTTTGATAGGCATACAGGGCCGACGGAGACACCCCGCTTGTCGGAATACAACTACAACATCAACCTTTCATCGTATTCGCCATCGGTAAAATCAGAGACACCAGGTGGCCAAGGCCTATACAATCAGATCCCTTGCAAAGGAACCACTACTTAGTGTGTGAATTTCACAACACACACGGTCACAGGATCGAGGATTACCGGCAACTCCGGGAAGAGGTAGCCCGACTACTCAGCAAAGGTCACCTCCGAGAATTCCTTAGCGACCGGGCCAAAAATCAATTCCTGAAAAAGAGGTGAATAGGAAGAATGAAACAAATGAGCCGCAATATGTTATCCATATGATCCTCCCACAGGAACCCACTAACAGAAGAACAAAATATCTCTCACCTAGGTAAAGCAAACTCGAGTTTACATACCCGAGGATGCACTCACGTTCAGCAAAGAGGACATCGGGACCTTGTCTCAGCCTCATGACAATGCATTGGTAATTTCCTTTCTTGTAAATACACTTCAAATT